TTTTTGAGCTAGTGATATTATTCCAGCTGTTTTTGAGGTAGGTGATATTATTCCCATTCTACACATGATTAAGCTCAGAGAGGTTAAAAAACTTTTCAAAAGTCACACAGCTAAAAGCAGCTACTAAATGGTCTGAACTCACTGGTGCACTCATGTAGTCATTCATTTCTCAGGTACTCACTGAACTTAGTTCTATATTTCCAAAATTATTCTATTGAAATAAAATTGATATGCAATGTTGTGTTAATTTTTGCTGTACCGCACAGTAATTCAGTTATGTGTATATATATATTCTTTTTCAATTTTTTTCCATTTCAGTTTATGACAGGATATTGAATATAGTTCCCTGAGCTATACAGTAGGACCTTGTTGTTTACCCAGTGAGCATTGTTCTTAATTGCAAGAAATAGAAACCAACTTTGGTAGATTGTAGCAGAAAAGGAATTTATTAAAGGGATCCTGGATTGCTTGCAGAAATGCTGGGAGAGCTGGGGAGGCGGGTGTGGACACGTCATACCAGGAACAGTGGACACAACGTGGCTGCCACTGCCCCTGCCATGTCCTAGACACTTCACCTTGCAAGGCTCACCCACTGGGGCAGGATGCTGGGTGCTGCTTGCAAGCCCCAGCTCCTCCTCCATCTTAGGGTAGCTACCACTGTCCCTAGAGGTACTGTAGGGTCTGCTTCTTAGCATTACTGCTTCTGGATTCAAAGTCTAGACAGTGCCTCTGATGAATGGAGCGTGAGTATACCGTTTGCTCTAGAGCTGATAGACTGCTAAGAGACACGCTTTCTGCATTTGCATTTACTCTCCTGGGAGATGGGCTCTGTTCCCAAGACTCACAATAAAGAACTCCCCGAATGTGGTAAAGATGTTCTGATGCTGGGCAGCCAGAGGAACACCTGAAGTTCCTCTTTATGTTGAGTGCATGAATGATGCAGCTAGATGTGGTGGAGCATGCAAAGGTGAGTCCTAGAACCTGCCTGCAGGCACCTCATTGACTCAGAGTTCCCTCCCTTTCAAAGTGTGCATTTATTTGGCACCACAGTTTGCAGAGCTCTCTCTTCTCACTGTTTCCTTAGATCATTCGGACAGACAGCCATGCAAGGTAGACAGAACTGATACTCTATTTCATCCTTGAAGAAGCTAAGAAGTTAGATGATGAGCCTGAGGTCCCCCTGCTGGTGAGTGGCAGAGTGGAGACTTGGCCTGTCTGAGTCCAGGCCTGGTGTCAGCCGGAAGCAAGACGTGATCACAAACATCATGCTGCATCAATTCCTAGGCATGTGGTTTTCCCCTGCAATTTTTTTTTATGTGAACAAAATCAGCCTTCTTTATTTATTTTTAACTTTTCATCACAGACATTTTCAATCATACACTCAAAGAAAATAATGTAATAAATTCCCATTACCCATCATTTCAATAATGATAACCTAAGGCCAGTTTTGTTTCATCTATAATCACCACTCAACCCCACCTCCACTCCTAGAATTTTATTTTATTTTAATTTTATTTTCCAGAACTCCCCTGACCAGAGATTGAACTCGTGCCACCAGAAGTAGAAGCATGAAGTCTTAACCACTGGGCAAGTCCCACCCCTCAGTGTTTTTTTTTTTTAAAGCAAATAGGTTTCCCTAAAAAATGGGACTTTAAACTTAGTGATTACACACATCGCATGCGTGTTTCTCTTTCATCACCTCACCAAAACACTGGATATGGTATGGCACCACTTTATGCCAGTTTGAAGTAGCACAGCAAAAGTATCGACAAAGTCTCATTTTAGATGTTGATTACAAATTATTTCTTTTTAGTACCAAGAATTGTGTAGTTATTAAAAATTAAACAATTTCAGAGTTGGTAGGCTAGTAAGTCTGCTGCATTTTTGTCACCACAGCTGCTTAACAGAAATGCCTACCTACCTTCAAGATCATTCCACTTGTATGGTTTGGAATGGGATAATTTTGGTGACTATTTTTCAGATTAACACTTGCCATTTTTTTTAACGTAAAACTGTTTTTAATAGCTCAAACAATGCCATGAAGTGCTGACATTTATGTTTAAAACTCTCTTCCGGGGGCTTCCCTGGGGATCCAGTAGTTAAGACTTTGCTTTCCAGGGCAGGAGTGTGAATTCAATCCCAAATTGAGGAGCTAAAATTCCAGATGACTTGTGGCCAAAAAACCAAAACATAAAACAGAAACAATATTGTAACAAATTCAATAAAGACTTAAAAAGTGGTCCACGTCAAAACAAACCAAAAAATACAACTCACAGCCATATCAATAGTTCTGGAGTAGAAGTTAATGTGATAAATTGCTCTGAAGAAGGCCAGGCCCCACAACATCTGGCAATGTTTAGGACACTTCTGAATTCGGATGCATCTTGGAATCAATGATACAGCACAGTTTAAATGGCAACTTAAAAATTCCTGTCACCCTGCTTATTTAACTTATATGCAGAGTACATCATGAGAAACGCTGGGCTGGATGAGGCACAAGCTGGAAACAAGATTGCCGGGAGAAATATCAATAACTTCAGATATGCAGATGACACCACCCTTAAGGCAGAAAGCAAAGAATTAAAGAGCCTCTTGATAAAAGTGAAAGAGGAGAGTGAAAAAGTTGGCTTAAAGCTCAACATTCAGAAAACTAAGACCATGGCATCCGGTCCCATCACTTCATGGCAAATAGATGGGGAAACAGTGGCTGACTTTATTTTTCTGGGCTCCAAAATCACTGCAGATGGTGATTGCAGCCATGAAATTAAAAGACGCTTACTCCTTGGAAGGAAAGTTATGACCAACCTAGACAGCATATTAAAAAGCAGAGACATTACTTTGCCAACAAAGGTCTGTCTAGTCAAGGCTATGGTTTTTCCAGTAGTCATGTATGGATGTGAGAGTTGGACTATAAAGAGGGCTGAGCACAGAAGAATTGATACTTTTGAACTGTGGTGTTGGAGAAGACTCTTGAGAGTCCCTTGGACTGCAAGGAGATCCAGCCAGTCCATCCTAATGGGAAATCAGTCCTGGGTGTTCATTGGAAGGACTGATGTTAAAGCTGAAACTCCAGTATTTCGGCCAGCTGATGCGAAGAGCTGACTCATTTGAAAAGACCTTGATGTTGAGAAAGATTGAAGGCAGGAGGAGAAGGGGACGACAGAGGATGAGATGGTTAAATGGCATCACTGACTCAATGGACATGAGTCTGGGTAAACTCTGGGAGTTAGTGATGGACAGGTAGGCATGCTGCGGTTCATGGAGTTGCAAAGAGTCGGACACGACTGAGCAACTGAACTGATGTCAAATAACGGGGCACTTCACTTGAAGGAGTTGTAGATTTGTTGGAATACAGTCACTAAGACAGGGGTAGAAAGTGAGAAGGGATAGGAGGAGAGCTGGGGGGGTGGGGTGGTCAGGGAAGGCTCTGATGAGGAGGTCTGCCACCCTTGGTCCCTTAGCTGAAGCTCTAGATTCCAAAAGGCTCAGGAATATGAGTGTTTATTTGTTTTCTTCTTCCAAATTTGGCACCAAAACCTAACCTGAACTAACGCAAAGTAATTTTTAAACATAATCTGTAATGATAACTTCATTCTAGTCACTGTGAAGATCAATCTGTTTAGTTGCAGAAATATTAATGTTTGTTGATGGAGCATTGTCCCAGTCCCTCAAGGGGAGGAACAACAAGAGATGTTACCTACTTTATTATTATTATTTTTTGGCCATTTTTGAAGCTTGTGGGATTTTAGTTTCCCAACCAGGGAGAGAACCTGGGACCTCGGCTGTGAAATCACAGAGTCCCAACTACTGGACTGCCAGAGAATTCCCTGCACTGCCTTTTTATTTTATTTTTTTAAAAAACATGTTTTATAATTTTTCTTTCTGTCATTTTGGTGGCTTCTCTCATTACAGAGCACAGGCTCTAGGTGTGCGGGCTTCAGTAGTTGCAGCTCGAGGGCCCTAGAGCAAGGGCTCGGTAGTTGTGGTCGTGGGCTTAGTTGCCCTGTCCCACCGTGGAATTGTCCTGGACCAGGAATCCACCCCATGTTCCCTGTTTTGGCAGCTAGATTCTTAACCACTGGACCACGAGTGAAATCCCTGATGGCTGGATATAATTTAGATATGTGGAGACATGGAGGGATTTTAAGAAGAGGAAAAAGCATCATCTCACATGGCGACAGAGGATGAGATGGCTGGATGGCATCATTGACTCAATGGACATGAGTTTGAACAAACTCTGGGAGATGGTGAAGGACAGGGCAGCTTGGCCTGCTGCAGTCCATGGGGTCACAGTCAGACTCGACTTAGCTGCTGAACAACAATAACACATCAGCTTGGGTTTAAGTGTAAGTCAGTATCCAACCATTACATTTGCATTAGAGGCAGAGATGACCTGCATTTCTTTCTTTCTTTTTTGTAAATATTTATGCACTCTGTGTACTTTCTTTCTTTAAAAGTTATTTATTTATTATTTATTTGGCTGCATCTGGTCTTAATTCAGCATTCAGGGTCTTTTAGCCATGGCATGTGAACTCTTAGTTGTGGCATGTGGGATATAGTTCCCTTACCAGGGATTGAACCTGGGCCTCCTGCATTGGTAGCAGGGAGTCTTAGCCACTGAACCACCAGGCAAGTCCTTAAGTGGCATTTCTGATAACTCTTCTCTCTTAATTTGTGTTTCATATGTAGCTGGAGGGTTGGACTTCCTCTGTTTTGCTTTTCCCTACAGTATTAATCCCCTCCTTTTCCCATAAATCACCTGACTTCCCCGAAAACTCTGTAACACACCCTTTGGCTAAAAAAGAGTGTTAGGCAATCAGTGAAATTCCCCAATCCCTCTTTTCCCGCCTGCAGCCTGGGACAGAGGAGTATCAGGCTGGAAAAAGGATGCAGTTCTTGTTTCAAAAGCAGAGGGAGCTCCAAGATCAAAGCTGAGTTCCACTTTCCCTAAGCCATGGTCTTCCAGCCCCCTCTTTGTTTGGATCAGGGAATTTCAGACAAGCACCCTCGGGTAGAGGATCACAGGGACAGAATCAGAGAACCAGATCCAGGGAGGCCGGCGGAGGTTCCTGCAGAGGGAGCGCCCAGCTCTGAGCCGCTCTTCCTGGGAACGGGCAGGGTCGCCCGGCCTGCCCACTGGCAAGAGGGACGGGACTGACCCACTTGTTCCCATCAGCTTCTGAAGGTAAAATCCTTAAACTTGAAGAGCAGAGCTTTGATGGAGGGAAAAAGGAAGGCAGAAAACTTTACATAGGGAAGTTTCGGGCAGACATGGAGGGCTGAGAAGAGCAGAATCCAAAGGAGGGAGAATATAGAACACCTATTTCTCTTAGGTTGATCCCATTCACCCCCATGTCACCCACCCCCACCCAAAACAGTGTTCAGGGTTAGAAGCATATTTGGCAACACTTTACTCAGAACTGCAAGGAGGTGGCTTATGTTTTTAGTAAAGGTAAAAAAGAAAAGGAAAAAAAGATCTGGAAAATTAAGGTAGGAAATTGAAGAAACAGCTTTTGTTTCCTTTTCTGTTCATTCAGCTGCCCCTTTTCTTCTCCCCCACACACAACTCTGTCTGAGACCACTTCCCCGAAGGTCACTGCCTTCCCCTAGGGAAACAAATCCATTCCTCCATCAGTGGTCTTTGGGAGCAGTAAGAGAAATACATGCAACAATACACAGGCAAGAGAGTTGGTTTGAAGTGATAAAGGGGCTCCTTGTCAAAAGAGGAGGGAGATCTGTCCTGGTGGATTGGTCATGATGGGGACAAACTCCTGAAACCCCAAGTGGAAACAGGGATACTGTCCTGTGAGAGGAAAAGAGAGGCTGACAGAGCGGGGGCAGGGTGGAGGTTGGGGGTGAAGAAGAAGAACAGAGGAAGCAAAGAACTTGAAAAAAGTCTCGTGATTTTGGAGGAAAACTGGGAGAAGGTCCTGAGAAGCCATGGTAGAAGGATAAGGTTTAGTTTCAGTCTAGAACAAGAGCCAGTGTGAGAGGATTGGTGTCATACATTGTTGCTTCATGATATAGCTCTGTTTAACCTCTGTGCTATTCTTACCAAGATGACACTGACCCCTTATCACCAAAGCAGGTGCCTGTGTTTGTTAGACAAATACTGCCAGGCCTGCCACCCCTTTAGCTCCAAAGTCAGAGGTGCAGAGAGCCAGGACCAAGAGATGAGCTGCTCACCAGGGATGAACAAATTGCCAGAGATGTGGTGAGTGATCCCAGGTCTAGAGAGATGTACATGGAATGCATTCCCTTCATCCTCTCAAGAAAACAGCTCCGATCCTAAGCCTGGGTTTGGCTTTGCCCTAGGCCTTTCTGTTTCATTCCAGCCCAAGATTCTCTTCCACATACTGGTGCCCTTCGCCTCTCCCCTCCCTTCTCCCTGCCCTAGTCCACTCATACCTGGGTCACCCACCTCTCCAATTGCCTTTATTATTATTTTTTAAAGGTGCATTGTCCTGTTTTCCCTTGTGGCCTGGGTTTATGCTGAGCCTACTATGTATGGAGAGGTTCTATCCCCCAACTACCCTCAGGCGTACCCCAATGAGGTCGAGAAGTCTTGGGACATAGAAGTCCCTGAAGGGTATGGGATCCACCTTTACTTCACCCACCTGGACATAGAGATGTCTGAGAACTGCTCCTATGACTCACTGCAGGTACACGCGAAGGGCACAAAAGGATGGGGCTGGGGAGGTGGGATGAGAGGGTGAGCACTCAGTGAGCTGGGAAGTAAGGTGGGAAGTCGTCTATCTCTCTGCCCTCCATATCAAAGTATTACCCTTTCACAGGTTCTTTTGACTCTTCTCTTAGATAATGTCGGGAGGCCATGAAGAAGGGAAACTCTGTGGACGGAGGACCAGCAAGAATTCCAACTCTCCAGTGGTGAAAGAGTTCCACATCCCATACAATAAACTCCAGTTGATCTTCCGGTCGGACTTCTCCAACGAGGAGCGTTTCACTGGCTTTGCTGCGTACTATGTCGCCGAGGGTAAGGCTCACCTCTCTGTGTGCCTCATTGATCCAGCCATGAGACTGGAAGCAGGGCAAATATTGAGCAATGCAGGGAGTGAGGATTCCATTTGTAACTCTTATGAAGTATTGACTTGACTTGGATCACTCCATGAATTCCCTTTGTGAAAATCAAACGTGTAATCAAACGTGTATCTTGGTGGTGATGACGATAATGAAAAAAATAGATAAAAAACATCCCAGTAATTTATTGAGAACCACTGTGAGCTGGGTATTGTGTTAAGAACTTTACTTATATTCATTAAATCTTTACCTAAACTACATAATTTGAAGAGCTTCAGAAGTATCACTAGTGGTAAAGAACCCACGTGCCAATGCAGGAGACACAGAGTCACGGGTTTGATCCCTGTTTCGAGAAGACCGCCTGGAGAAGGGAATGGCAACCCCCTCCAGTATTCTTGCCTGGAGAATGCTGTGGACAGAGGAGCCTGGTGGGCTACAGTCCATAAGGTTGCCAAGAGTTGGGCAGAAGTGACTTAGCACTCACTCAAATTATATTTATTTACTTATGGTTGCGCTTGGTTGCCATTGGTGCACACAGGCTTTCTCTCCTTGCTCTCTTGGGTGCTACTCTCTAGTCAGAGTGCATGGGCTTCTCTTGGCTGTGGCTTCGGCTTCTCTTGTTGCCAAGTATGGGCTCTAGGCCTTGTGGGCTTCAGCAGTTGTGGCATGTGATCCAGGAGTTATACTGCAGGAGCTTAGTTGCCCTGAGGCACGTGGAACCTTCCTGCACTAGTGATTGAACCTGTGTCCCCAGCATTGTCAGGCAAATTCTTAATCACTGGCCCTCTAGGGAAGTCCTACCTCAATTCTGAAAGTAGGTGTTACTATCTCTACTTAAAGATAGGAAAAGTAAAGATTAAGAAGTTAAATAACTTGCCAAGGCTCACACAAGGAATGTGTGGTATTCAAACCGATTTAACACGCAGCAAACAAACTTTCGCATTCTATGTGCGTCTACACCTATCTTCAGGTTATCATGATGTTACAACATCTCATAAAGCCAAAGTCTTGTTTAGATTTGACAGAAGTGCCAGCATCATGTAAGGTAATACATGTACTAGTTGTTGCTCCCTGCAGAAGACATATCATGTTAAGCTTGCAGAGTGCTGTCCCTGGAGTGGAAATACTCTGTTTATGAAAAAGGTCAAGGGTCTTCGGTGTTGACACCTCCCACTATAGAGGCACCATCATAGAGCACAACTCTAGAATCATATTTCAGGAGAGTAACATAGAATAACTGGAGGAGGGGCATGGCAACCCACTCTAGTATTCTTGCCTGGAGTATCCCATGGACAGAGGAGCCTGGCAGGTTAGAGTCCACAGGGTCACAAAGAGTTGGACATGACTGAAGTGACTTAGTACAGTATAGAGTAATAGTATTCTGAAACGAGATTCATTGAATATCTCTAAGAAACAGGCCCTTCCTACTTTTCTTACACTTGCAGTTTTGGGCTTAACTTCATTTTTCCTTCTAGGTCTTTGTCCTTGACCACTGTCTTTCTCTGCTCTTTGTAGATATAAACGAGTGCACAGCTTTTGCAGATGCTCCTTGCAGCCACTTCTGCAATAACTTCATTGGTGGTTACTTCTGCTCCTGCCCTCCGGAATACTTCCTCCATGAAGATAAGAAGAACTGTGGAGGTGAGCTTGGCATCAAGAGAGGTGAATGTTCCCTGGGATTTGGGTTGGCTGGAGGCTTCAGTAAGGTGTCTGTCTACCCTTTTCGATTTTGATTAGCCCTGGGCTTGACTTGGCATCAATTTTTAGTTACTCATAAACAGAAGGGGAGCCACAAGAGTGGAGGAAGGTAAGCCTACAGGGTTAAGTTAATTAATTGTTGAAGAGAGATAGGTGTCAACTTGGGCCTCTTCATAACCATGAAAAGCTCCACATAAGTGATGCGATGGGAACCCAATACATATTAGGTATCTCTGCTGTTATGCATTGGTGTGTAATTGTGGCACGTGGGCTTCAGTTCATGAGAAGGATCATAGAAAAGAGCCGGGACTCCTTGGCCTAGCCCTTTATTTGAATCTCCTTTTCTTTTTTCTTCTTTAGTCAATTGCAGCGGGAATGTATTCACCACAATGACTGGGGAGGTTGTGAGTCCTAATTACCCCAGTCCATACCCAGAGAGCTCAAGGTGTGACTATCAGATCCAGTTGGAGGAGGGGTTCCGAGTGGTGGTGACCATGAGGAGAGAAGACTTTGATGTGGAACCAGCTGACTCCGAGGGCCACTGTCCTGACAGTTTACTTGTGCGTGATGGATGATCAGTCTTCTTCCAACTCACTCAGAGAGTTCTCCTTGAAGACACATCATCTAGCTTTCTGTCCCTTCTTTTTTTCTTTCCCTCCTTCTTATTTTCTTTTATTTTTATCCCTTCCGTGTTACCTTTTTCTTTTAGTTCTTTCTCTCTTCTGATTTCCCCATTTTGCATTTTGATTCTCTTCAGTTTGTGACAGAAGACCAGCATTTTGGTCCTTACTGTGGGAATGGCTTTCCTGGGCCACTAACTATTGAAACCCAGAGCAGCGCTCTGAATATCATCTTCCAAACTGATGGATCAGAACAAAGAAAGGGATGGAAATTTCGTTACCATGGAGATCGTGAGTAACCTAGAAGCTGCCCTTTGGTTTGTGGGACCAGAGTCCTTACCCAAGGTAAAATCGAAACAGTAGATTGTTGTACTGATGGGTATCCTGAGAACACAGCAGCTCCTCAGCACCATGTAAACCTGTCAGTTGTTGTGAGAAACCCACAATTTCTAGGAATCCTTCAACTGGATTTTCAAATGCAGATGGCCTGGGGGTGGTTAGTTAGTAACGTCATTATTCTATTTTATTTCATTTCATTTCACTGCCAGACTTGTGAGATCTTAGTTCCTTGACTAGGGATCAAACCTGTGCCCTCAGCAGTGAAAGCACTGAGTCCTAAGGGCAGGATTGCCAGGGAATTCCCTGCCATATTGTTTTAACCACCTCCATGTTGGAATGCTGGGTTTCAGGACTGAGGATGAGTCAACAACTGTAGAAAATATGTTGTTTGGTTGGTAAGTTGTGTCTGACTCTTTTGTGACTCCATGGACTGCAGCCTGCCAGTCTTCTCTGTCCATGGGATTTCCCAGGCAAGAATACTGGAGTGGGTTGAAATTTCTTTCTCCAGGAGTTCTTCCCGACCCAAGGATCAAACATGCATCTCCTGCATTGGCAGGTGGATTCTTTACCACTGAACCACCAGGGAAACCCAACAAATGTGAGAATGATTATATATAATAATGATTCTCCAATGATTTGGTAAATTTCTTTTCCTATCCTTTTCAAGCAATCCCTTGTCCTAAAGAAGTCATTGCCAATTCCTTCCGGGAGCCTGAGAGAGCAAAATATGTGTTCAGAGATGTGGTGAAGATAACCTGTGTGGATGGGTTTGAAGTTGTGCAGGTAAAGCACTGTCAGGGGCTCCTCTCTAGTTCCTAGGTCAGGATGAGCATACTGGAATCGTCTGATCAGTTACTGAGTGTTCTCGTTTGAGTGAGGTCTAGGACCTTCTTCATCAAGAGAAGCCCTCAGGATCTCTACTTGTCTTCTTAGCCATAAAGATCCTTGGACATTTTCACATTCTCCTTTTGGCTTCAGGCTTCCTGGGGAAGGGGACTAGTATGCTGGGGCAAAGTTGTCTTTTAGTTCCAACTCCTGAATGCTTTGGGTCATTCTGCTAAGACGTCCCCAAGCTTCTTGTAGTAAAGACTTCTCATTGATCCAAGGCCAGAGATCAATTCCATTTTTGGCTTTTGATTCCCTGTATCTCTCTTTATAAACTAATATTGAGGTTTATTATTTTCCAGGGAAGTGTTGGTTCCCCATCTTTCTACTCTACTTGTCAAAGCAATGGAAAGTGGAGTAATTCCAAGTTGCGGTGTCAACGTATGCATCTCTTTAAAATGGGACTACTTTTGTCAAAAAGTGGGCAGTGGCCCAATTCTTGGAAATCCCCACTCATTACCCAAAATAGTTGGAATAATTCTACTCATTAGCCTATGAAATTACTCAGTCTTATGAAAACTCACAACCCTGGTGCCTCTCACCTTCTGAGATGGCCCACAGTCTGTCTGTGGACTGTGTATCTTCCTGAATAAATCTTCTTTCCCTTAAGAATAAAGAGGGGAATAATTTTCCCCCTCCCAAAGGAAGTGGGAAGATTAAGGCACAATTTCTGAGATACAAATGCATGGTTTCTTCTTAGGCTTGTGAGATAGTGAATTGGGTTTCAAAGGGAAGTCAGTTGTAGAATCCTAGTCCTGATCTGACCCTAGGCCAACCAGACTAGCAGGTTTCTTACAAAGAAAGGGTCTATGAGATTAGTAGAGTTAATAGCATTCTATGGGTCCATTTCTACAGAGGCCTCACCAATCACTGGGAATCAGGTTCATTCTTGCCACTTTCAATGGGCCATCTGAAGTGGCAGGACTCAGTGGGCTGGGGAGATGAGCATGGCCACAGAGAGGCTGATGTGGGGGATTCACCCCAAATGTGCTTATGAATGGGGGGGAGGCAGGGAAGGAGTGAGGAACACAGCTGGGAAGATGGACTGGCCCAGGGACTCTTCCTGGGAAGAAGTGTCTATCCTGATCATCTCTCTCCTGCCTTCCTCCTGTAGCCGTGGACTGTGGCACTCCTGAACCCATTCAGCATGGTAGAGTTGAAGATCCGGAAAGTACTCTGTTCGGTTCCATCACTCGCTACTCTTGTGAGGGACCATATTACAGCATGGAACATGAAGGGAGCGGTAAGATTTCTTTGACTAAAGAAAAGAGAAAGAAAGAGTGAGAGTGTTGGAGGGTGAATAGTACAATCTTTCTGGGTTGGAGACAGTTTGGAGAGAATGAGGGAGATGGGCTGGGCTTTGTTCATCCTCTTTGTTTAGTCTAAAGATACAGTTTTCACACAGGATGGGGTTGGGGCATGGGTTGTATAGGATCACCTGTAGAGTATCATAGAGATCACCTAGTTCAGCTTCAGGAACTCCCCCTAAAATATCCATTTTCATGTGGTCATCCAGCTTTTGACCACCTATGTAATGTAGAACCCACAGGAGTAATGCTTCCAGCTTCAAGTCTCTATTCTATGATGACATTTTTTTTCTCACACCATGTGGCATACAGGATCTTAGTTCCCAGTCAGGGTTCAAACCAGTGGCCCTTGCATTGAGAGCACAGAGTCTTAACTGCTGGACCACCAGGGAAGTCCCACAACTGACTTTCTTGATGGAAAGGCCTTGGTGGTGCTGGATGAAGGACTGGATGGCTCATGATATGTCCCAGTTCATTGCTTTCAATTTAATTTCCTACTTGAAGCACTTTCTCAGCCTCCACCTTAATCCTCTTCCTTCTGCTTTGGAGAATGTTCCTTCTAATCCCTGGGCAAGGGGATTGTCTGGGGCCAAAGGGATTGTTTGGAGGATGTTCTCAAGATTATTTTATGGTAGGTTTGGTCCCATTGCCTCCTAAAATCCCAGAGGCGCTGAGGCTCTGAATGGAAGGCAGAAGATAAGTGAGAAGATGTGATGCTGAGTGTGTTCCTTCTCTCTGTGCTATTTCAGAGGTGTATCACTGCAGCGGCAATGGGAGCTGGGTGAACGAGGTGCTGGGCACAGAGCTGCCAAAATGCGTTGCAGGTAATCAGGGCTCAGACTTGGGTGGAGAGCGTGTCCTCAGGTGTGTGTGCATTGGGCTCACCTTCTAAAAGGAGTTGTAATCCTCTTGGGAAGGGAATTGATGGTCTGGGCCTGCCAGAACCTAGCTCAGTGAGGTGGAGACAAATCTGGACATGGATTTGCCAGGGCCTTTATCAACTGCACTGCCACGGTGACTGACCCTAAAGAGAAAAGTCAGCCAGTGACAGTTGGTGTCAGAGTCTGGGATGGTTAGATTTGGTAATGTTGGTGCAGGAAGGGGATCTAGGATTGCTAAAAACAGGGTGTGAAAATTGAGAGTGAGCAATCAACACTTAGAAACAAGATTAGTTGAATATCCTAGTTATTATATTAAAAACCTATCTGGCAACAAGATACAGAAGAATGAAAGGAACAAGGGGTTGTATAGAGATTAGACGGCTTCTCCTGGTGGCATAGATGGTAAAAAATCTACCTGCGACTTGGGTTCAGTCCCTAGGTTGGGAAGATCCCCTTGAGTAGGAAAACGCAACCCACTTCAGTATTCTTTCCTGAAGTATTCCATGGACTGAGGAACCTGGTGAGCTAGTCCATGGAGTCAGAAAGTGTCGGACATGACTGAGCAACTAACACTCAGACCATCATTATAGAGATTAGAGTTGAGTGGAAGAAGACTCCCAGACCAAGCCAGGAATATAATGATGCTCATAGTAACAACACTGTAATTGAGAGCTAGGGACTCAGCTAACTAATTGAATTTATTGTCTCATTCAATCAAGTCTTTGCAATAACCCTCTGGGTGAGGTGTTATTGGTCCTGCTTTACAGTTGAGTGAATTCATTGTGAGTTCACAGTTTAGGAAGGGATGGGATAGGCTTTGAACCCACATCTGTCTGTTATGCTCAACTCAGAGTCCATTTGGCCTGACTAGTGTAGGATTTAGGTAAGCCAACTTGATCTGAAATACAATTCAGTTTTACTTGCATTGGGTAATGGCAAAGCAACCTTACCTGGGTCATTGGAGGATGAGATGAAAGATGGGAAAAGAGAACCCTCTTTTTGCCCTACGTCCAGTTACTAGGAGGGACTTGGCTGCAGTTAGGACTTGAATGAAGAAGGTGGTAAGTGGACCTGGGCATCAGAGGCAAATAGAAGGCTTGCCTTCCCAACTACATGTGTGAGAATAGTCTCCCAGCTCGGGCTCCTAGTTGGGTCCGTGACCTGATGTGTTGAGCCTGGGGTGACATGTGTCTCCTGTAGGACTATGAGTTAAGCTGTCCATAGTGTGAGGCTCATTTAGGTTCAGTACTTTATACACAGTTTAAACTGTGAACTCAGTTTAACCAGTCTCCCCTACAAGCCTGCTCTTGGCACTGGCGATGTGGGATATTTGATCCTTAGGTGAGTTCAGATAAGTCAGGCACTGAGATGGTTGACCAAATACAGTAAGTCCCCTACATATGAATGAGTTCTGTTCCAAGAGCATGTTCATAAGTCCAACAACATGAGCTTAGGTACCCAACTAACACAACTGTACTGTACTGTAACACCTTATAGTATAATAATGGCTTATAATACTTTTCACACAAAAGGTTTATAATACTTTCACACAAATAATACATACAAAATACAAAACAATACAAAAAATAAAGAAAACACTTTCTTAAAAAGATCTTTTTTTACTTATTTGACTTTACTGTGTCTTAGTTGCAGCATGTGGGATCTAGTTCTCCAGTCAGGGATGGAACCCAGGCTCCTTGGTTTGAGTGCACAGAGTCTTAGCCCATGGGCCACCTGAGAAATCCCAAGAAAACACTTTTAATCTTACAGTAGGGACCTTGAAAAGTACAGTAGTATCATTCAACAGCTGGAGCTTCTTAGCAGTACCAACCATATCACTGCTGTTTTTACAGTGGTTTCCAGACATCCTGGGCTTGAAGTAGATTCTATACTACTGTACTTTACACCACTGTAAGTTCACAAAAGCACAGCCACTTGTAGAGGATGTGTGTGCAGGAAAATGTACCCCAGACACCTGAACTTACTTACGTGATTGGATGTGCAAGCGCATGTTCACATCTTTGAAAGTTTACAACTTGAAGGTTGGTGTAGGGGATTTCCTGTATAAGGTTGGCTGTGTTGTGCTGAGAACAATGAAGCCCAGCAGGTGTTTGAGTAGCTGGAGGATTGCTGGGGGCCAGCGACTACCCACCTTGTTCTTTTTCCTTTCTAGTCTGTGGCACCCCCAGCGAGCCTTTTATATCAACACAAAGAATATTTGGAGGCTCCATGGCAAAGATTGAAAATTTCCCCTGGCAAGTCTTCTTCTCGAACCCATGGGCTGGTGGGGCTCTCATTGATGAATACTGGGTGCTGACAGCTGCCCATGTCGTGGAGGGAAATGATATGCCAGTGATGTATGTTGGATCCTCCTCAGTGGTCACCTCACAATTGTCAAATGCTCAGATGCTCACTGCCGAGAGAGTGTTCATCCATCCAGAATGGGAGGTCCTGGATCCTTCGATAGTACGGAAGAATTTTGACAATGACATTGCACTGGTGCGCCTGAGAGACCCAGTGCAAATGGGACCCAAGGTCTCCCCTATCTGCCTACCAGGCACCTCCTCAGAATATGACCCCCCAGAGAATGTCCTGGGGCTGATCTCAGGCTGGGGTCGAACAAATGCCAAAAGTCATGTTATTAAGCTCAGAGGGGCAAAGCTACCCGTTGCTCCCTTATCCAAATGCCGGGAGGTGAAGGGGGTCAATCCTGGAATAGATATCAGTTCTTTTGTTTTCACTGAGAACATGATCTGTGCCGGTAATGACAAGGGTGTTGATAGCTGTGAGGGGGACAGTGGTGGGGCCTTTGCCGTACAGGACCCTAAGGAAAACAACCCCAAGTTCTATGTTGCTGGTTTGGTGTCCTGGGGCCCCCAGTGTGGGACCTACGGGATCTACACTCGAGTCAAGAACTATGTTGACTGGATAAGGAAGACAATGCAGGAAAATAGTGCCCCCAGTGTAGACTAACCATACAGGTTCTACCAGCCTCTCTAAGGGCCGTGACCCCTCTGGACTTTCTGTTCCTCACAATAATCCCATTATTTCATCATGACTGAGAGAGGACATGGGAGTAAGATTGAGCTGTTGATAGAACTTGTTTGTTGGGATACCTGATTGGAGGTAGGGTTCTGCTCCTGTGGTTGTGTTGGTCTTGGATGACCCACTCCTGTTCCAGTTCTGACTCTGAAATTTGCTGTGGGGCATTCTCTTGATTTTTTTGTTTCCCCTTTACCTGTTTGAAGTTGACTGTATCATTTCTGCTATCTACTTGTAATAAAGCATGTTTATAACCCAGTGCTGGCTGACTTGCCTCATTCCACATCAAGACCTCAGCACCACAGAAAGGGAGTTTAATGCGCTGTTGTGTCCTCGAAACTCAAGGCCCTCACAGCTCATATTTAAATATCATGAAAACAGGGAATCAGCTTCTCTCCTCTCTTCCAATGGAGAGTAACTGAGCATTGTGGATTAGCATGACATCAATGCGAGGTGCCATGTTCTGCTTTCGAAACTCATCAAACATACCTGAACCTCAGTCAGAAATCCACATACAGCAGTTAGAATTGGCTGTTTAAGATCTTAGAGTCTGAAATTTCAAGGTAAAAATTGCTTCAGTATGTCTCCTGAAAGTGAGTTTTCCTTTTATGAGCATTTGTTTAATACAAAATTATGACCCAAGAAAAACAAAAGAAATTCCACATGCTCTCATCTGCTTCCCTGGTGGTTTTGGTTAATTTGTCAGTCAGGCAACAATGTCTTCTCTGGATTGAATGCTGCACTGAAATATCACAGTTTATTCTGGTGAGGAGGGACCCAAAGTCTCCCTTCTACTCTTTTCCAAGGAAACAGAAAAACAAGCAAGCAAGCAAAGAACTCCTCATTTCCACAAAATGATCAGTGGTGAAGAAGGACTGGACAATAGAGACTAGTATTTTCTTTTAATTGAAGTACAGTTGATTTACAACATTGTGAATATATATATATACATATATATATATATACACACACACACACATATATATATACACTTCCCCAGTGGCTCAGCAGTAAGGAATTTGCCTGCAATGCAGGAGCTGCAGAAGATGTGGGTTCCATCCCTGGGTCAGGAAGATCCCCTGGAGGAGGGCAGGGCAACCCACTCCAGTATTCTTGCCTGCAAAATCCCAAAGACAGAGGAGCCTGGCAGGCTACAGTCCATGGGATCACTAAGAGTCAGACACTATTGAAGGGACTGAGCACTTACACATATATCAGTTCAGTTCAGTTCAATTGCTCAGTGGTGTCCGACTCATTGTGACCCCATGGACTGCAGCAAGCCAGGCTTCCCTGTCCATCACCAACTCCTGGAGCTTGCTTAAACTCATGCCCATCAAGTTGGTGATGCCAACGAATGATCTTATCCTCTGTCATCCCCTTTTCCTCCCACCTTCAATCTTTCCCAGCATCAGAATCTTTTCCAATGAGTCAGTTCTTCACATCAGGTGGCCAAAGTATTGGAGTTTTAGCTTCAGCATCAGTCCTTCCAATGAATATTCAGGATTGATTCCCTTTAAGATGGACTGGTTGGATCTCTTTGCATTGAAGGGACTCTCAAGAGTCTTCTCTAACATCACAGTTCAAAAGCATCAATTCTTCACCACTCAGCTTTCTTTATAATCCAATTCTCACATCCAACAGTTAGAACCTGACATATAACAACAGATTGGTTCCAAATAGGAAAAGGAGTACGTCAAGGCTATATGTCACCCTGCTTATTTAACTTATATGCAGAGTACATCATGAGAAACACTGGGCTGGATGAGGCACAAGCTGGAATCAAGATTGCCGGGAGAAATATCAATCACCTCAGATATGCAGATGATACCACCTTTAAGGCAGAATGCAAAGAAGAATTAAAGAGCCTCTTGATGAAGGTGAAAGAGGAGAGTGAAAAAGTTGGCTTAAAACTCAACATTCAGAAAACCAAGATCATGGCATCCAGTCTCATCACTTCATGGCAAATAGATGGGGAAACAGTGGAAACAGTGGCAGACTTTATTTTTTTGGGCTCCAAAATCACTGCAGATGGTAACTGCAGCCATGAAATTAAAAGATGCTTGCTCCTTGGAAGAAANTGTCACTGTTTCCATTGTTTCCCCATCTATTTGCCATGAAGTGATGGGACCAGATGCCATGATCTTAATTTTCTGAATGTTGAGTTTTAAGCCAACTTTTTCACAATACTGTTTTCCATTATGGTTTATTATAGGATATTGAATATAGTTCTCTGTGCTATATTGTGGGACCTTGTTTTTTATATCTGCCCTGTATATAATAGTTTGGAATCTGCTAATCCCAGACTCCTCATTTATCCCTCCCACCCCTTCCCCCATCAGTAACCATAAGCTTTTCTACCCAGAGATTAGTACTTTTTAAACTGAGGACAAGAGAGCTATCTTGGGGTGGCCATTGCCCCAGATGGGGTGTCTTACGAAAGCCATGGCCTGAGATTAAGAGTTCAGGGGGACTCTGGTCTGTTTGATGTGACATGTGGTTTTCAGGAATCCAGTTTTTTTTTTTTTAAATCAGAAGCCAAAAGGGGTGTATATGTGTCCCATCAAGAAAGGACTTTGATCTCCCACAGACCAAAAGGGCCAAATTCCACAGCTGACCTTAGACTGTATTAACACATGATGAAGTAACCAGAACACTAATCGAAAGGTCTGAAGAACCAAAGGGGAGTTACAATAGGAAGCTTCTGGAAGGAACTTGTCCAATTAAGCAAGGAGCATAAAGCCATTTATGTTACTCCTTAACTGCATACCTGCCAACTACCTTTCCCCCCTCCACCACCAGTCATTCCATGTGCCATGGAGTTGACTGTGAACCCTGGACTACAGTGCTTTGGACAGGAGAAGGGAGAATCTTCTAGGAAAAAAAAAAGAATCGTGAAAATATTAAGATTAAGAAATATGCTTGTAATGTAGACATTTTCCTTCTTTTTAATAATTGGAGGAATAGAAAAAAAATTAACCTGGAATCTGACAAATAACAGAGGAAAGAAGTCTATCTCTACCAGCGAGAGTCTTCAGTCTATCTGGGTTCTGCCGTCACTGATTGGCCGAGATATTGGTGACGATTTGCTTGTTGCTGCTGCCTCAGACAACAAGATGGGTTGTTTTTCTCATCATTAGCTGTATTATCAGATAATTCCCTGGTGAATGGCAGGGGAGGGTTCTAAGTGAGTCATCATCAGAGACTTTAGAGCTGGGAAGGGCTCCTTGCCAAGGCCTAGAAAGGCTAGAAAATTTTTCGTTGTGGTTTGAAGCAATCATACAGCCTTGCAAGTCACTTGGGAACAACATGTGTGCTTCAAATGAAACTCAAGAAAAGACAGCTTTTCAAAAAGCAGGTGAACTGTCACATTTCTTTGGTCAGAAGAAAAGAAAAAGGACTGCTGGGTCAGCAACTCACGCCTGGGAAAAAAGATGGTGACCAGAGGCCAAGAGGACTCTCTGGGAAAGACCCTGGTTGAAATTGGACCAGAAGGAGCTGGTGGGATTTTGGTATTCTATAAGTTGCTTTTACTTTGATTTCTATCAGAAAAATATCCTGTGAAAATGTGACTTTTAAACTTTCTGAATATGCATCCTTTTTTTTTTTAGATTTAAAAATATGAGAAAACTTCTTTTCAGCTATTTTCAGGTGTAACTCACAAATAAATTGTAAGATAATTAAAGTGTACAATGTGATGATTTGACCTGCGTATATATTGTGAAAAGATATCTTCTACCCAGTTAATTCACACACCTCTCACCTCACGTGTGTGTATGTGTTACTTGCTCAGTTGTGCCTATTTCTTTGTGACCTCATGGACTGTAGCCAGCCAGGCCCCTCTGTCCATGGCATTCTCCAGGCAAGAATACTGGAGTGGGTTGCCATTCCCCTCTCCAGGGGATCTTCCTGATCCAGGGATCAAACCTGCATCTCTTGCATCTCCTGCATTGGTGTGTCTTTACTGTCCAAGCCACCAGGGAAGCCCTCAACTCACATGTTTATCCTTAATTTTTTTTTTTTTTGTGGGAACATTGAAATTCTACTCTCTTGGCCAATTTCAGTGATACAATATATTGTTATCAATTATAGTCACCATGTTACATATTAGATTCTCAGACCTTATTTATCTTGTAACTATAATTTATACCCTTGTATCGATCACTCTCTATTTCCCCTATGCCTCAACCCAGGGTGACAACTTTTTTACTTTCTCTTCCTATGAGTTTAACTTTTTCAAAAAGATTTGACACATATGTGATATCATGCAGTATTGCCTTTCTCTGTCTTATTTCACTTAAAGTAACCTCCTCCCATTTCACCCATATTGTTGCAAATGACAGGATTTCCCTCCCACCCTTTATTTTAAGGCTGAATTATATTGTATACATTGTGTATATACACATACACACAGACTCACACACTATTTTTTCTTGATCCATCCATCTGTTGATTGACACTTAGGTTATTTCCAAGTCTTGGCTATTGTGAATAATGCTGCAATGAACATGGAAATATAGATGTCTTTTTGGGATAATCATTTCATTTCTTTTGGATAAACACCCAGAAGTGGGATTGATGGATCCCACAGAAGATCTGTTTTTGATTTCTTGAGAAAACTTCATACTGTTTTAATAGCAGCTGTATCAATTTTCATTCTCAAAAACAATGTACAAGGATTCCCTTTTCTCCATATTCTCATCAGTATTTGATATCTCTTGTTTTTTGATAATAGCCAGCCTAACAGATATGAAATGATATTTCATTTTGTGTATGTATTCATTTTTTCTTTTGGCTGTGCCACGAGGCTTGTGGGATCTTAGTTCTCTGACCAGGGATTGAACCCATGCCCTTGGCAGTGAAAGCGCAGAATGCTAACCACTGGACCACCAGGGAGTTCCCTCACTGCGGCTTCAAATTGTATCTCCCTGATTATTAGTGATGCTGAGCATTTTTTCACGTACCCATTGGCCACCTTTGTATGGCTTCCGTAGGGAAGGTTTGTTCAGGTCCTTTGCTCATTTTTGAATTGGGTTATTTCCTTTTCTTTTTTTTGGCTATTGAGTCATATGAGTTCCTTGTGTATTTTGGATATTGACCGATTGTCAGAGAAGCAGTTTCAGATTATTTTCTCCCATCATGCTGGCTGCCTTTTCATTTTGAAGATGGTTTCCTTCATGAGCAGAAGCTTTTTAGTTTGATGTAGTCCCACTTGTTTATTTTTGCTTTTGTTGCCTAGTGGTTTTCTGGGGGTGCAGGTT